GAGGGCAAAGGGGATTTCCTTTCCTCTCACAACTGGTGTCACACTCGTGCCCTGGGGATCCTTTCTGCCTCCCCTCTTTCTGCCACTGTCTCTGCCCTGTTGCCTTAGATTGGGAAAAGAGAGTGCTTCTATGGCAACACAGTATTTTCTCTCTCCAGGGATTCATGCAGTGTCCCTAACCGTTGGGGGCTGCTCCACGCGGTAGTTCAAGTCTCCCAGCCAGAAGAGATGAGTAAAGCGATGAGTGATGTTAAATGGACTCAGTTTCTTATCTCCCAGTGTCAGGAAGCGCAGGATGCTCGTGTAGTTCTGGTTGCGTCTGTCAAGACAAGAAACATCTGCCTGACAAACTAAATTGCCACACGGTTTCTAAGTGCCTGGGCTGGCACAGACTGATGCTTTACCAGGCAGGAACCAATCTGGCTCAACATCTAGAGGACAGCACATCAGCAGCTGAGAACTTGCCACCCCTGTCTGGCACTGCACCTCAGCAGACAGGCCCAGGTGACACGCTCAGTGTCTCCCAACCTACTTCATGCAACCAGTAACACAGCACAGCTCATGCTGCAGCTTGTACAGTGTGTGTCTGGTGAGCTGGGGGCAGCCTGCTCTGAGGAGGGGGCAGTGGCATCGAGGGTGGCTCTTTGGGTGTCAGTCTGTTTCCACCTGAATTGAAAAGCTGGAAAGCTGTCCTAAAGCCACTTTGGTTGCCTCTTGGGGCTGTGCTTTTCTGAACTGCATGTGCCAGAAACCAAGCATTAGATTGTTGCCTTCAGATTTCAGCAGCAAACATTCCTAGATTTTGGCAGCTATTCCAGGCCCTGGGGAACCCTTCCATAGAGGTTAACTCCATCAGTGGCAAAGACCCTGTGCAGAAATTCCACATCATCTCTCTTCTGGGTCCTGGACTGGAAAAGACAGCAAAGCCAACCTCTCCATTTCAAGACCTCTTTGCTTTCAAAACCACTCCTTCCAACTGCTTCAGCTCCTCCCAGCGTGGGCACATATCTCCCACCAATGTTAGGATCTTTGCCTTCAATTCCATGCAGCACAGAACCTGCCTAGACCATGAAAACTCATTTCACAGCTGGGAACAGAGAATTAGCCACCGTGGAGATATTTCTGTGCCTCACAGCTCCCTCTTGGTATTCCTGACAGCAGGCTCTGCCCAGCAGGATCTGTGCCTCAGGGTGCACCACAGCTCCCGTGCTTGCAGCACTGCCCACAGTGAGGAGGCAGACAGTACCCTTCAGCACATTATTCTGGGATGGGAAAAACCGTCCCACATTTCTCCAAAATACTGTAGATCAGGGAACTGTTTTCCTCATGTACTGGGCTTGCAAGGCATTTACTCTTGGCTCTGAAGCTATTTTGCTGTCCATTTCACCTGTGCCCGTGTGGTAAGGCTATATGGAAGTCCCTCGTTTAAATGATGACAAAGCGAGCAGTGTCTTTAGCACAGGTTGCCCTCCCAGGAGACATTTAATCATTTTTTATGGTTAGAAAAACATGCTCTGACTATCTGGTGGGCTCTCCTTCCACACATGGCCCAGAGAATTTCACCATCCATTTTAGATGGTCAACATCCATTTTAGAGAGGGGAGGATGTATCTTACCTGTGTTTCTTTTCACTTCCTGAAGTCAAATGGCTGTTAACAAACCCAAAGGAGGTTCCATTAAACATGAATGACACCCCCACAGCTCCTTTATTACCTGGAAAAAGATAAGTGAAAAATGTCAAGAAATCAATCCACCTCCAGGCTGAGTCTAGCAAAGATAATAAAGCACCTAGTACATCTTAAGTGAAGTAGAGGATGGAGAAAAGAAATCAGTTAACTTCATCAGCACAGAAAGAATTAGTGCATACAGCACAGATTGTGGTATCAAATTTTCTAAGGATGCTAAAAAAAAGATTAGTTGAACGGAAATAAGTGCAATTTCCTTGTGAAACCCAAGGAAAAGCAATCCAATATCCAGTCAAAGGTGTTTGCTGGGAATATAAATATATATGTGCTAAGTATACACACAAATAGATTTCCTTTTTTACAGGGTAACCTATAATCAGTGCTAGTGGGACATAATTTTAGCAACACTAGTGTCACATAAATGCAGTCAAAGGAGTCTTGTGGAGAAAGAGCTGTTCCATTTCAAGGACAGTATGGGCATGGACTGAGCAGATCTCAGTCCTTTGGACAAGACCAGGTCTGTTCCTCACCCAGTGTGTTTGCGATGCCTGTCTTCACGTTGTCTGTGCAGATGTGGCTGATGCGGTTCTCATGTTCTGGCTTGGCCAGTACAACAATCCTGATGTTCCAGAGGGTATGGATTGCTATCTGCAGGGATGGGAAGGTTAGAGGTTGTATTTCTTCATGTGCCTGCAGAGCTGCGCTGCAGCTGCCCTGACTCTTTCTGTAGTACTTCTCCTACACGAATTTTCTTCCTATGCTTAGGATATGCTTTCAGTCATTTTAATCAAAGGTGGGAGGAAGGACCTAGCTATTTTCTAGTGCTATTTTCTAGTTAATCATTGAATTGCCTTGCTTGCACAGAATAGTTTTCTAACCACCATGAGAGTCGTAAGTCCTGTTCTCTTGTGGCCTTCCAGATATGCTTAGATTGGTTTCTTGACATCACTAAAACTCGGGAATGTCTGAATGTGGTCTTGATAAGGTTCGGTTTCTATTATGATTATGCCTGTGTGCTGTTACATCTTACTCTAAGTGCAATAGCCTAGGGTGAAATCTAGGCTACAGCTGGCTCAGAAAATTTTACATTCTCTTCCTTTATGAAGGTCAAAATATCACCAGCACTTGACTCAAGTGCTCAGCATCTGCACCTTGCTCACAGACTGGAAGGTAGAGGAGCTCATGGCAGGATCCCTGCTTTGGCATGAGGGGTCACTGTCCATAGCAGTACACTCACATAGCCAGTTCCAGGGGAGGTACTTGTGGAGTCCACAGACAGATGCAGTTCACTCTTCCTCATCCAAATGCAATGACAATAAAGGGAGGGAATGGGAGGAGATGTAGGCAAAATGCTACTTATTCTGTCTCTTATTTGCACAGAATCTACTCTCCTCATACGCCTGAGCTATGTGCAATAGCTGGAATAACCTCTCACCACTTTGAAGCTGATACTGGTGATTTCCTGCAAGGATTGCCTCAGGGTCTCCAGCCATTCCTTCTCCCCTTGTGGATCTTCCTGTGTGCCAATCACATAGATATCATGAGGAATGTAGTCAGCAGTGTCATCACGGGTCTTCCCCTGCCCCTTGGAGAGAAACCAGGAGGTGATCTTCTTTGGGGGAGGTGCAGCACCTTTTATTAACAAAGCAAACACCAAAGTAAGTCAGAGAATGCTCTGTCAGACTGAGGATACAGACAATCCATGGGGACATAAACAATAGGCTTCACATGTACTCTGTCCTGTACCAGTTCCCTGTTAGCCAGGGCACACTATTCTAAGATGACAAAGATGTTAACCCCAACTGACTCACTGATGAGGGAGTGACTCTGCTTTGATCATCTTCCTGACTTTCATTAGTTTACCAAGGCCACGGCTGGCCAACTGTAAAGGTAAGGAGCTGTAGTCCTGGCCTGCCACTGCATTTACCTTACCCCTTAAGTACGAGTGAGCACAGACAGCTCATCTTACAGCAGTAGAATGCGTCTGTTCTCCCCAGATTGGAAAAATAACTTAAATTCCTCTGTCCTCAACTACACCCTGTCCCCCTCTCTAAATATTGCAGATACTCAGCTCTCTTCCCAGGCTGCACATGAACAGTCAGGTTCAGAAGCAGCTGACATGCAAGGTGGAGGATAGCATACACTGCTGCACCGGCTTCATGCTGGCCACAATTGCCTGTCATTGGAGGAATCCTTCAGTAACCATCAGGGACAGCTTTATGGTCCTTTGAATGGAACCATTAAAATTGTCAAACCATATGCAAGAATAAGCCTAGATACCAGCTCTTCCCCTGCACCACTAGAAGACAATCCTGGTGTACAGATTTGCTACAGAACAAACACAGTATCTTTCCTTCAGAGGACCATATGAGCCCATACCCATATTCCAAGTCCCAATGAAGATGGTGATCATATCAGGCTCTGGTTGCTCCGAGTGTTTATTCTTCATCTGCTGCAGAAGTTGGCAGAACCCTTCTCTCTTCTAGACAGAGAGGAGCAGAGACAATTAACAAGTTGCTTAACTCCTCCAACACAACATCTTGAAAAACTAGCTGAACCAGGAAATTCCCACCACACTTGAAGGACGTACTAGCTCCCCACTATCCTTGAACCTTCAAAGAGGCTGTGTTTCCTGTGGTATTTTCTTAGGCACTTAGCTTATGTATTACTTTAACAATTGCTGAGCTGGTCAGAAGAAAACCTAGGCTTCCCTCTTTGTCTGCATGAACTTCCTCAGATGACTCCTTGCCTCTTCTCACTGGTTGCTGATACTGTTCTCCTGCCGTAATGACAGCACCCAGGTATGATTGCCCTCTCCAGTATCTCCCTTTACACAGTACATGTGTTCATTTTCTGGATGCTTCCAGAACAAAAGAGGAATTTCATTTTTGCAAAGCCAACCACCATCCGTCAGCAGGTCCTCTTTCTGCCAAGGAATGCCCCTTGTACCACTCCCAGCCAGGTACCTGCTACCTGCTCCAGGCTGGTGGGAAGGAGACACTCTGTGTGTACCTTGGAATCAGAGAAAACATATTCCTTCCGCTGTGTTTTTTCTTTTTCTGTTTCCAGCACTATCACCAGTTTGTTCGGGACCTTCTGGGACTTGATCAGCTGCAAGACTAAACAGAGACTGGGTGTCATAAGCTGCAGTCACTGAGACTAGAATCCCACCAAAACTAACAGGACACTGTTCACAGGCTCAGGACTTACATGGTATTTTATGTCTGAGGCTCACTTTGCCCCATATAACTACATTTTAATGTTGCTTAATATAGTTTTCTATATGAATAGATTTGGACTCTGAAGTGAAGAGGACCCCCAAAACTCATTCTGCCTGAGCTCTTGTCCATACCAAGCCCTCCTGTCTGAAGTGAAGCCTTGGCTTCCTGCAGGTAATCTCTTTGTATCCTGAGCCAGCCTACATATATTCCTTCCTCACCTCTGAAGGAGGAGGTGAAACCTTATTTGGTGGTAAAGGTGGTTCCTCCCCATCTAAAATAGCAGCTAAGTAATTATGAACAACAGGAGGAGAAAGCCATGCATGGTAGCTAATCTTTTCAATCACTGCCAGCAACAGGTTGATTTTCTAGCAGGAAAGAGGCCAAGGGTATCATCTACCCTCTAATAAATCCATTTGGTTCAATCTCAGTGAGCTACCTGTCCAAAACACAACAGAAAAAAAGGGAAGTTGTCTGAATTGGGCCTTCCAAGACAAAATCAGCATTGCTCATCAGTAGAGATATTGATTCACATACAGAAAAAAAACCCAACAAAAACCAACCCAAAACCAAAGGGAAATTCAGTGAAAAATGTTTCTGAAACTGAGTATCTGGCTTTTTGCCACCAAGAATCATCACAGAAGTCAATATGTTCCTGCAGAAATTATTTTTCAAGTGACATTGCTTTTCAGTAGAAAATGGATCTATTGCAACTAGCTTTATAGGGAATCTTCTACCAAAACCTGCTCCCTGCTACCTCTGTCTGTATTTAGACCAAGAGGCCAGGTCTAAAACAATCTGTGTAAGTTGATTGCCCTGGTGTTGACTCCCTGCAGGCCCCTTTGTGGATAGGCAGTCTAGACTGACTGGATCCTTGCACAACATCCAGGACCTAGCAGAGGTATCTGCACTCTGGGCAAACCTTGCCCTCAGTGGGGCCAAAGGGAACCCCTCCCTCTCCATCACCCAAGGGACTTAGAGTCTAGCCCAGCATGTGTGACCTTAAGCATCTTACTTTTCTTGTGGGTATAAAACTTGTCTTCTGGACCATCCTTAGCTCTCTTGATAATCAGTTTTCCCATTTCCACATCAACCTTGAGATGTATTTTTGAGAAAATTCCTAGGGAGTCAGCCTTCACCTATTGGAAAACAGAGATTTTTCATAAGCAATCCACGCTTCAATCGTGTATTACAAATGCAACACCCTCCTGAATTCATGGACACATATCATCGTTCTGCCAATCTCACTAGACATCTCTGAAGCATTTGCATGGTGCTAAACAGCATCCAGGAATAGCTGTTATCTCTGTAGCAGCACAGCAAAGTTCTCAGGAACTGAGATACCAACAAAAACCTGCATTACTGCCCTTCCACGTTGTGATCAGCATTGTTAAAAAAGAACATTTACCTCAAAAGTGACAGGGGGGATGAGGGAGCGACGGTGTGTCGAGTCAGGACCCTCAATCAGCAGTGTTTTCACCTGCAAAAGAATTGATGTGTACAGTTGCATTTGGTGATTCTGCACTACATTGAGAGTAATGAAGTCAAAGCAAAGCAATCTTACTGTAGCAGAGGACTGCACTGATGATGAACAAGATGCATAACTAGAGGCAAAATACTACAAGGTAATATAAATAGCTTTAAAACTCTACCTTTTCTTCAATAGAAGACAGCAAAGAAATCAGCTGATTGAGTTTCAATACAATATTGACTGGACTAGCTTCACCGAGCATCTGATAACCACAACAGAAACAAAAAGAGAGAGATATGCAGTTACTAAACCACAGGGCATGGCCTGGGACTGCAGCAGTCTCACCCCAGAACACCTCACACACAGCAAGGAGCAGCACTGGTGCCTCTGCTACTCTAATCTGTAACAGCAGCCCAGGAGCACAGTCTGGCTCAACATGCAGAAGCATGGGAGGATGGAAGGATGAATTTGCAAACCTTGTCCATACGTTAAAGGCAGCTGGGCATGCAAGGGAGTCAGCTTGCTGCTGGGGACGGGTTTGCATGACCAGGTCCAGGGCTTAACATACAAAAATCCTGGACTTCTGGTTTTCTGGGCTACTGGCAGGAAGGAAGGTCATGGGGCTTAAGTGGGCTTTGGGGAAGGAAGGATTTGGCAGTGAAACATCCTGAAGTGAACTTTATGGAATAAGACGTGTGCAGTCCCAGCCCACAGGCTGAGAAAGGATGGGTAGATCGAAGTCCTCAGGATGTTCACTGCACTTTCCTCTGGGGCAGGAAGGGGGAGCACGCAGAGGGGACTATGGGATAAGTGAAACTGTGGGGATACAACTCACTGTGTGCCCTCTGCACTGCAGCCACAAAGGGGCTAGAGGGAACAGAAGTGACTGATCACCTGAATGCCACTGGACACTGCTGTGCTAGCAGAACCCTAGCCTCCCACAACGCTGACAGCCACCCGCACTCCTCTCTCTCCTCCTTTTCCCACCTCCCACCCGACTTACTTGTGAGCGCTGATGGATACCAGGGTGCAGCTGCTGCTCAAACACCTTCTGGATGGATTCCAGAGATGGGAGAGTCCTAGAGGCTTCACTGGGAACAGAGACACAGCAGAGGTCTAAGGCTGCACTCGGGTCCCTGGATAGATTAACACTTGGTCTCTTTGGACAGAGCCGTGCAGCTTAGGCTACAGGCATGCATTCACACTAGGCTTGTTCTCGCAAGTGTCATAGAATCACAGAATGGTTTGGGTTGGAAAGGACCTTAAGATCATCTAGTTCCAACCACCTGCCATGGGCAGGGACACCTCACACCAGACCATGTCACCGAAGACTCCATCCAGCCTGCCCTTGAACACTGCCAGTGGTGGAGCGCCACTATGACTATGCCAACCCACAGAACAAAGTGCACTCAGAAGTCTCAATGCCCAGCAAGGTTTGGTGCCCATGAAGGCTGCGGCAGCAGGAGCAGCTCAGTTTTGCAGAGGTCCTGTGCAGCTGCTGATGTTGATGCAGGATGCTGGGGACACTGCACAAAGAGGAAGCTCATTTTTAGATTTTCAGCTTACATGCCAAAGAGGGGCTGGACACAGCAAGGGAGTGGAAGAGCCAGCTTTTAATCTCCTGAACAGGAACCGTTCCTGGGTTATGGTGAGATTCCTTCAGCATTTCCCAATTAGATTCCACAGGATCTCATTTGTCAAAACACTGTTGTATGAATTTGGCACAGAAGCCATGCTGTGATAATGACAAGACTTATCAGGGAGAAAGCAGCCAGGGAGCACAGGTCAAAAGGAAGGTGGTGGTGGGGAGCAGCGCTGGGATGCTTGCATTGTGCCTAGTCAAGAGTGGATATTAATGATTTCCCTCACTTTCCTAAGCCTGAATGGACTGGATTTTATGCCCTGTTTGTTGGGGAAAGCGCTTCAAAGCAAAACTATGCCTGACTGTCTGAAGATTAGATATTTGTCTAGGTGCTGAGCCATGGATGATTAATTGCCTAAATTAAGGACTCAGGTTTGAAATGTCAGTCTGAAAGAAATTCAGACTGAAATGAAGATTCGGATGAAATGAAGACATGAAATGCCATGGAGCACACAGAAGGACAAGACCAAGAGTGCGGGATGTGTAGGCCATCTCTCGAAAACAGAGCAGCAGCTGCCTGAAGCACATCAGAAATGATTTCTTAGGGGAAAACTGCCCTCTGTTTACTGTACAGTGCAACATGTAGCACGCATGTGAGGATGGGGGAAGACCATGTGCAAGCGATAGAACTCAACAAAACCACAAAGTGGTTTTAATTGCACTTATAACTCCATTTGTTTTCTACTCATGACAGAACAAAACAAATAAATGTAGTGATCTTCACTGAAGTGTCAGAGGCCTGGTGTACACATACAAAGGCACAAGTGCTGGTATCAGGAGTGCTTGAAAAGCTGTCTTAAAGGCTCTATGTACAAATTATCCAGTGAGGGAGAATAAACAGAAGCATGCAGAGCAGAGATCAATGACCAAATCATGGCTTCAGACAGTAGTGGGCCGACTAGGCCAATATAAGTGGTTTTCACTTAAAGCTGGCAGGAAACTCTGAACAAAGTCCACTCGCATGGGTAGTCCCTGCTATGTGCTGCAGTGACACAAAGCTCTCCATGAATAAGCTTTCCAGCCCCTGGAGGATTCCCTGACTACAGAAACCCTTGTATGCCGATTTATTTTAGCAATGGATGCTTCACAAAAGTACACATCAGCCTTACAAGCCTTTGTTTTACTTCAGTTTTAGTATATGACCTGCCAGAGTGAACAGCCTCTCCCAAGAGTGGTTTTCCTGTTGTCCCCCAGGTTCTGGTAAGAAGATGTGACATGGTTGTCCTGACTCCCTTGGCCATAGTGGGCCCTAGAAGGTAGCAGCTCCCAGCAGAGTTAAAACGAGTTTTCAATGTCTCTAGTGCACACTGGGGTCTGTCCCTGCTAAATTAATCAGGGATCAATGGTGAGGAGGGTGAGGGTAAGAGATCTCAAACTCTGCCTCCCCAGTCTGCTGTGGCCCAGCAGTGCTTGAGCTTGTTGGTCAGAAATGGGTCCTGTGCCTGCCCATGGGTAATATGTGACCTGCAAAAGGCACAGACTGTTCACTAACAGTTGGCCCAACTCCTCTCCAAACCCAATGGTTCACTATAAGCTCTTTTCTTTTCCTAACCACTGAGCAGCTCCAGTATACATCCACTCTACCTTGCTAGCAATGGCAGCCAGTATTTACCCGTAGCCTGGTATCAAAATGCAGAAGTGAGTCAGACAAAGTCATCAGGATGCTCGTTTTTCACAGTGATGGCAGCGTGTCTGAGAGCAGCTCTGAAAGATGGCACAGCTGGGCTCTGGGAGGTTGGGAGAAGCCAGAACACAGCATCACAAAACCTCAGATTCACAGCAAATCAGTGTGGCTCACAAACAGCCGGGGTCAGCTCAGCCATAGCAAGTGTCCTCCTGCATGCTCTGTACCTTTGGCAGTGCCAGGAAATTCAAAGATGCTTCAGCTCAAGCTGTGCCTATTAACATTTCTTCTTGTCTGTTTGTTTAACCTATTCTCTAATATTGTGAAAATAATGAAATTGTTAAGAAAAAGAGGACAGCCACTGAGCAGCAGCCTAGGAATTACCTGTACATTCAGCTGGGATCTCTGTGAAGCTGAAGAAAGCTGAGGTAAATAAAAACTAAATTTAGGTAACACCACTGATTAAATTTGAGAGTTCAGAAATCTGATAAGGGAAGCTAAAACCCCAGCCAACCTTGGAGATTAAGACTGCAGAAAACAATAAGATACCCAAGCACCTGACTATTAGCCAGCTGAAGCTAAGCAAACAGTTTGGTTGGATGGTAGACATTCATGGGACAATCTGAACAGAGAGGAAGAGGTTGCTCAGAGAGGTCTGACTGGGACTGGAAGCAGGCTGCAGTTCTGGACCTTCGTGAAAAAACTGAGAAGGCAGCTTCATCTAACTGAAATACTACAGGTATGGGGAGAAAATCATGGGGAAGGGGTGGGAAGACCCTTTAACATTCTATTACCTAAAGGGGCTGACAAGGAAGCTGGAGAGAGGCTTCTAACAAGGGCCTGTAGAGACAGGATAAGGAGGAATGGCTTTAAACTGACAGAGGGGAGGTTTAGATTAGATACTAAGCAGAAGTTCTTCCCTGTGAGGGTGCTGAGGTGCTGGCACAGGGTGCCCAGAGAAGCTGTGGCTGCCCCATCCCTGGCAGTGTTCAAGGCCATGTTGGACACAGGGGCCTGGGGCAACCTGCTCTAGTGGAAGGTGTCCCTGCCCATGGCAGTGGGGGTGGGTCCTGATGATCTTCAAGGTCCCTTCCAACCCAAACCATTCTTTGATTCTATGATACTTGAGAGGATTCTGGATCTGTTGCATCTCCTTTCTTGCCATCCCATGTACATTTATGAGTAGGGATGTAAAACCCAGATAAGGTGAAGCAGACTAAATTGGACATGGAAAAAGCCAGCCTTCAACAGAACAGCAGTAGTGGAGGTATTTTCGTAACACAAAACTCTCACTTGTGATTTCATTAGATTTTAGTTTCCATTGTTCAGGTTTATTCTTAGCAAGCCACCTGGGTCTCCCCCTCTGCGGGTGTAAAGAAGCAAAACCTTCAAGCAGGGCACAGAGGAAGGGCAGCATTTTGCACAAACCCATCCTCAGTCACGCCAAGTGGCATGTCTGTGGGCAGGTGGCTTCTGGCAGAAGGAGCAGAGCTGCATATTCCTCCCCTTTACCTGGTAAAATGTGCACAATGACCACCACTTCAGAGGAGTAATCATGGTCCCAAGCAGATGAGCAGCTGACTCACTCCCTGCCTTTCTTCCATGGGTTAAAGCCAAGCAAATCAGTAATATACACACTCATTTTAACCCCTTTTTCAGCCTTGGTGAGCTCTAGGAGAACAAGATCAGGCCAGTAGCACTACCAGCCTCACTTATAAGTACACTGGAGAGAAGGATATTGCAAGCCACAGATAAAAGTGTGGAAGTATGTGTCCTCTGCATTAGAGTGCTCTAAGATCACTGCAGAAGTATGCATTTACTTCCTCTTTTGCTTACAAGCAGCAAGTGGGGGTGGAATCACATCCTTCCACCAGAGAAAGAGGGAGCTCTGCAAGGTTTTAGTTCCCTATTGGAGTTTACCTATTTGGGACCTGGAAGGTCTGTAAATAGCAACGGTAAAATCTGTAGAGTTGAGGTTTGTTTCTCTTTTCATTTGAGCTGGACCTCGTTGACATCACTGGAATCACCCCAGGTTCACAGTGCATTAGTGGGAAGGAAAATCAGTGTTTAAAACGTAGCTATACACCAGTATGTACTTGTTTCCATAAACGACTCTTGCTTGACAATTCTGTGGGTGTCATTTATGTATTACCAAATTATGCAGTTAATCATTAGTGCATTTTTTGTTTTGTTTCTTTCTAAACAAACCCTAAAAAAACAATACTCCACTGACTGAAACCGCCTACAGGGGAACTTCACTGTCAGAGCTGTCTCTTTTATATAGATTTCACATCTTTGGACCAGAATCACGGGTCATGAGATCTAAATATAATGTTTTTGAGGGTAAGCCAATTTCCTATGCCAGAAATACAGGTTCTGAATGCATGCACGTGGAACCTGTGTTAGACTACAGTGTTACAACATTATACTCTGAAAAACAGCCTCCAGTTACCTGAAAAGTCCTTTGCAAAGAAGTGCAAGTAGTTTCTTCAGTTGAGGAAGGTTGCTTGAGCCAGTCTGAACCATCTCAAAGTCACTGATGATGTGAACTCGCAGGTAATCCTGGATGAGCTTAAGATGCTCATCAGAGACACTGTGAAACAAATAGATAGGTCAAAAGCCAGCTCTTCTCTCTGCTCCCACATATCAGACAGCTTCATTATTTTTCTGAAACTTCCACTGCTTGCATGGACAGATGGGGAGCTGTTTGCCTTGGACTTCAGTGTAAATATGCACTTCTCAGAACTGAACCATGGATTCCCCACCACACTCTTGACACCTTCTCCTCTTCCTCCTTCTCCATCCCAAATCCTCTCCTCTGTGACTGCTGAGCTGCCATGTGATACCCAGCTCTGTCAAAACCATTAGCCTTGGCAGGTAAAGCCAGGCTGCTGTGAGGTTGCTAATAGCAGCTCAGGCGTTCTGGGGAGATGAGAACTCCCTTTCACCTCACCAAGTCCCACTTTGAAGGTTTTATTCCAAACAATTCAAAACTGACTTAGCGGGCCTGAGACCACAGAGCTGTATGGGATGCTCTCCTCCTCCCTGTCTCTGTGGTGCCTGGACTCCAGCACCATGGGGAAGGATGAACCAGGCAGACTGTATGTGCTGTCTCATGCCTTGATAAATGCAGGAGGTCCCAGCTAGCTTTGATGATGCAGATGAAATGGCGCAGGCAGCTGATGAGCTGCTGCACAGGCCCTGTGCTGCCATGCACAACCACTGTTTGCTCAGAGCCTCTCACTGCCCTGCCAGCAGGCATGCCTTCTGACTCTGTTTTCATTTTATTTTTAAATCTAGTCATTAAATGTCATGTGGCTTCCTCTAAGACTTCAGTGCATGTCCAGATTTGACAGCAGGTGTGACAATGTGAGTCAGACCTGTAGCTGCAGTAAATCAGTGAGTACCTGCAAACCCACACACAAGTTCATTCTTTCTGATGACTTTCTGACCCAATCTGTAGTTTAGGCAAATGGCTAATACACCAAGTTCTCCCAGATAATACCATTCTTTACATTAGAAAACTATACCTCAGTGGAGAAAGTCTATTGGTGGTTTTAACACCTCCAAAAAGTATTTTTTCTAGATGACAGCTGGACAGTAAAGAGTAGCCAAGCACTGTAGATCTCATTCTGTTCTGTATGAATCAAATAGGTCCTCAGCTGCCCCAAACAGAGAGGCCCAGAAAGCACAGAGCTGGGCTGAAGGCTGATTCTGCAGCCCTGTGAGTTGCCATCCTCACCTGCTTGTGTCCTGGTGCTGCAGCCGCTGGAGTAGTGTCTCAGAAAGGGACAATTTATTAACATCTGCCACCTTGGAGTTCTCAGGGAGAGGAGATACCTCCTTTGTCTCACTGCTCGGCAATGACATGAGGATGTTGCGCAGGGGTAGGATAGGAGGCGTGGGTACCAGGTCTGGCAAGGAGGAAGGGAAAGGCACAGTCACCCCAGCATGGCAGTTCGACGCCCTCACTCATAGGCAGGGCAGAGTCTGCACCACAGTGGCAGTCACTGCAGGCACCATCTGTTCTGAAGGGCCTCTGATTTCAGAGCTGGAAAGCTCAGGGCTTGATACTGGCCCAGCCCTGTTCTCAGGGATGTCAGTGGTGTGAGACCAGCGGGCTGAGCTGTCAGGCTCGGACTTCATGTACAGGCAGCGTATGCCTCTGCCTGACAGTGTAACCTCATCCGAGTCAGTTTGACTCTCCCATCTGCACAGCCACTACGAAGGTTAATTAGTTACTTTGAATATAATGCTTAGAGAACATAGATGTACCTCATCCATATCATTACCAGATCTGCCGCTGGGGCAGAATGGATGGAGGGGCAGCAGAATGAATGGAAAGAGCACTAGAAGCTAAAGTAAGCAAACACAGATAGAGAATATAGAACCCATATCCAACAGAGGGCCTGAGTATCCTGCTTTGTCTTTGAGGGCATCAAGTTGGAAGTACAAAGGGTTTTCCTGCTCTGTAATCCTGTTGCTCAGCATACTCCCGCCTCCTGGGAAAAGAGTGGGTTCATCTTCACTTACCCTAACCATGGTTGCCTTTCTTTTCATAGCAATTGCTCCAACACTTTGTTACATTTGTCATATATAGCTGGTTGACTTGTGAGATTTTGTTTGGTTATTTCCTAATGGTGACATTTTCATTACAAAAAGACACTTAAAACTGATTCATTGCTCCTGGGCAGAAGCTGTGATTCACAGAGCCACTGCAGCACTGAACAACAGCACAGCTGGGTTGTGCATCTGCATGGTACTCATCTTCCACCTCTGCAAGTCTATGTGTAAGATGGCCAGGCATCTATCAGCCTTAACATGTCTCCACCACGATGACACCAAAGTGCCTTAACAAAATTAAATCCTGGACATGAACAGCCCAGCCCCAGTGCTAGTACCTCGTCATCTAAAGGCTCTCAGTCTTGGCTAGAATGACATTCCCTGCTGCCCTCCTCTCTGTGTATTATTTTTGCTGTAGTTCCCTCCTCCACCATGAAAGCTGGAGACTCAGAGCAGCTGGCCAGGAACCAGGAACATCTTTCCTGAGCAGCTTTGCAAAATCTTGTTCTGTTTCTTCAAGAGAATTGCACACCAAAATCTTCCAGCTCCTATTAGACATCCATTGGATGGCATTAATGTACATGGGCACATCAATCTGCTTTAGTGCACATGCCTATCTGCCTGTCGCAGGGACTACATCCCTCAGACAAGTTTTGTTGTAATGCTCATCATTTCCGGACAGACGTCAGAAAGGACAGGAAGGATGGCTCTGTGGGCATGACCTTCCCCTGGGGTTAAGGAGAACAATGACAGATCCAAGAGATGATCCAGGAAAAATCTGAGGAACGATCCAAGACCAGCGAGTGTCAGGAACCCATGGTAACATTTCATATAAAATAGTTGGGACACCTCGTCATCATACATCTTTCCTTTATACATAGAGTTAGGCTGTCTGCCACTGCAGGATCTGCACTCTCAGGTTATGGCTATTAGAAATGCCCTCCAAATCAGAGCAGATAAGGTGGCCTGAGTTTCAGATGAACCAAGATCTGCAGCAGCTGCAGAGAGATGTGCAGGTCCTAGTCTCTAGGGGAGCATCACTGCTGCTGAGATAGTGACCCTACCAATGCAGTGCAGGGAGAAGGGTGTAGACACGTGTGAGATAGCTGAACATAAACCAGCTTGAATCCAGAGGAAGGACAACAGATTAGTCAGCCCCGCATCTGACAGAATATACTTCTGCAAAGAACCTCAATATATTCCCTCAGGTGAGCTAAACAGATGCTCCAGATGCAGTACCACCCCAGAGCCATGAGGACTCACTGCCTTAAAGTCTTGCCAGCTCAGGTCTCTCTATACCCTGCTCCATTTTATTGCATGACATGCTGTAATCTCCCTGCCTGCTCTGTGTATATCCAGTCCAGAGGAAGTGTCAGGAGTCAGTATCACCAAGTCACGTCATGGGTTTCTTACCAGCATCCTCCTCTGGTTCATCTGCAGCCTCCTCCTCTTCCCGCAACACTGGATATTTGAGATGCCATACGAGACCCATGTTCTCCTTCTTGTAAAATTCTATCAGTTCCTCCAGGTTCTCAAAATACTTCACAGGAACACCCTCCGATGCCTGAAACAAAACACAGAGGTTGTCATGGTATGGGACTTCCTACCACAGAAACAATGCTCCTCACAGAAGGAAAAACAAAGTCATAGAGAAAACCCCACCACTGTTGTAGTCAGCCAGCCCAGCTCTCAGTGCCCATCTGACCACAGGCTCTATGCATAAGGACTCCTGCAGTACAAACAGAAACAGATCTACACACACACAGAGTCAGCAAAAATGGTGACCTCAAAGATTCACTGAAGCCATACGGAAGAGCTCTCTTGTTTGATTCAGTGTGCTTGGCTTCAAAGCAAAAGAAGACTTTAAAAACAAAGAATTCTCCTGGATTAGTTTTTGCATTCCCTCTTTTAATGAGTACAAAACCCCTGGACTATATTATATTTTGTGGTATCCAGGAAGAATTTTTCCTTGAAACTGCAAGTTAAATACATCTAAAGCTGGATATTAGCATCCCTTCCAGGATTCAAAGGCTCAGAACTAGGCTCAAGTCAAACAAGCTAGCAAGGTACTGTCACTGAGAAAGCTGAGGCTCCGGATGCAGCCAGGACTGTGAATGCATCAGGCATGACACTGAGTTTGCCAACTGAATTTTAACTGTGACTAAACCTGATTCTGGCACAGCCCTGGCCGCTAATCTCAGGAAATGGATACTTGCAGAGGGCAAACACAGGGATTAAGTTTATAGAGGTCTTCAGAGGTAAAGCTTTAGAGCAGTTATATCTACACACTGGTGCAAATGGTAAATCTGCTGGATTCACCGGGCAGGAAGAGCTGCCACCCATGCAGCCCTGCCCCACTGCTTCAACCATGGGCCCTACCAAAGACAGGTAAATGATTTGTCATGGCTCAGCACAGACCTCCTGACCGAAACAAAGAGCTCTGCATTACCTCCAGAACTGCACTTTAGTACTGCCCAAAGCCACAGGAACATGGGACCAAAGCTCTGATTACTCTTCCCAGGGCATGCTCTTGCTGGTAGGATACAAGGTTTTCCCGAGAAACCAACCCAACAAAGCCCTGTCTACACAGGCAGCAAAACATAAAGGACCCAAGACAGAACAGTCCAGAGTAGATGCTTTCCAGCCCCATGAAACTGTTGCTCTTGACTTAAAAGATTAACACTGGGAGCTGTTCACAACCCAGGACAGCAACAGTGGGCAAGCAAAAGGAAGACCTGATGACCCTCATGGCAGGCTTGACTTGCACTCTTTTACACGCCTAAAGATAGATTTTGCATGGGAAATATTGTTAGCTAATAACAACAATTAATAATTTGTAATAATTAATTATAATATAATATATAAT